TTTTATATCATCGAATTCGTTTCCTAAACTTTCAGGAAGGTTCTAGTCAGTAAACCAAGCCAAGCACATGACGTCAAAACTCTCTCTGGAGAAACATTAGTATAAACATTTGAATTAAAAACGGAATCTACAACAATATCAAGCAGATAAGGCATTACCTGAAAAAAACAGAGAGGGATCTAAAATATCAAGCAGAGAATGTATTATCTTGTTAAAACAAGGGACATTGAAAAATATCATACGGATATGGTGTTACCTTGTTAAAACAAGGGACAATGAAGAATGTCGTACAGATAAGGTATTACCTTGTTTAAACAAGGGACAATGAATAATATCATACAGATATGGTCTTACCTTGTTTAAACAAGGGACAAGGAATAATATCATACGGATATGGTGTTACCTTGTTAAAACAAGGGACAGTGAAGAATGTCGTACAGATAAGGTATTACCTCGTTAAAACAAGGGCAATGAATAATATCATACGGATAAGGTATTACCTTATTAAACAAGGGACAATGAAGAATATCATACGGATATGGTGTTAACTAGTTAAAACAATGGGCAATGAAGAATATCATACAGATAAGGTATTACCTTGTTAAAACAACGGACAATGAATAATATCATACAGATAAGGTATTATCTACATAACGTAAGTGAGAATCGAGCGAGAATACCATGCAGAAAAACTGTTTTTAAGCCATACATGGAAAATTGTAGAAATCATGCAGAGAAGTTATTACTTAGATACAGGGAAGAATATTTGATATATTGTGAACCGTGGTGTCTGTCCGAGCATTTGTCTGTCTCTTCTCTACAGCGGCCGCTTCCTGCGCTGCATTTGAAAAGCTGCGCACACAGGCAAAGCTCAACATTCAATTTTGAAATAATGGGAGAACAGATATGAATAATGTTGATGCCAAATTTTATTTCACAAGCAGGATATTCTATAATAAGTTATTAGGAATTAATCACTTTATCATTCTCATTTCAAAACGTGACGTAGCTTAGAGAATAAAAATGTAGATTTACCGTATGTTATTGTTGAGCAGCTCTTAGAATGACTGAAATGCTCAACAATTATTTTTTTTTTTGTGTTGGGCAGTATAAGTAGCCCAAAGCTTTGGCTATGAATGAAATCAAGAGTGCAAAACAATTAACCTTTTTAAAATCCATGAAATAATTTAAATTGATAGATTAACTTAAACTTTTCCCGTTACTGGGAATGGATACTTTTGCTTGTATAGAATAAAATAAGCAGATTTAGAAGTGTTATAAACTATTATTAATTAAACAGAACCCATACAGATTTAATACTGTATTGCTTTGATAAATATGGCATGCTAATAAAACCCTTTGTATAGCTTCTTATAGTTTACTTGATTAGAGTTATTGTGTTTTATTTCCTTATTAGGTGGTCACAACACCTTCTTCCCGTTCCTGAACACTTTTGTACATGTTCTGATGTATTTGTATTACGGCCTTGCTGCAGTTGGACCTAGCACCCAGAAGTTCTTGTGGTGGAAAAAAATACATGACTTTTATCCAAATGGTAAGTTGGCTTT